CAAGGTAAAGTCAAGTACCCTTATCAGAGTGCTCAAAGCTCTTCATTCTGTTCTCAGCTGATTATTCCAGGGTGATCTCTCTGTATTCTCCATGTTCCTTTTATTCTATTTGAAACAGACAACATATTATTTCCTGAACACCTGAAGCACTTCTATACCCATCCATCCCTTTCTTTTGTTTCTTTTGCCTTCATGCCTGTCTTATTCTATGAGGCCCTATGCCATAGTTCCTACTCAGAGAATTCCTCCACATTCCAGAGAAAAAGCCATTAATTTTCTGTCTTCCAATTGGACTTCGTTGAGATATCCATAGTAGTTTTTGCGCATATTGCTTATATTTCTGTTCTCCCCTTCTCTTAACTTCCCTCCTTGGCATTCATGCATATTGAGTCGTTGATGCCACAGTTACATTCTTTAGTCATTTTTGAATGTCCAAAAAAGTCAGACACAGTGTTTGGCATATGGTAGGATCTTAATAAATATTTGCTGAAGTGATGAATTTGTGATTGAATTTTGTCACTGAATATCATTATCTTAGTAGCAAATGATGGGATGATAATTGTTAAGAGAAGAGTATTAATGATAGGATTTCTGAATGACTATGCATCTTTCAAATCTTTGGGAGCACTGACAATTGCATGCATGTTGAAATGTCATATGTGTTAACTTCTTAGATAAGATGATAAAGAACCAATGAACATTCTGTTCTAGACTATCATTAGTCTACAAAGGAAGGGATACTTTATGCAGAACTGTTTTGAGGGTTATGTTATGATGAACTTTATCTGAGTCCTTGATCAAAATGAAGTGACAATGGATAATGTTGAAAGTGCCATCAAAAGAATATCTGATCAATATAACTCATCTATGGATATAAATTAGAATCATCAGAAGGAATAGAAAATAAACAGTATCACATGTCTTCAATTGATAGTGATAAACAAAGATGAATCTAGCAACAGTTTTCGCTGAGCTGCTTTTGCACCCCCACTACCTTAATGATGAAGAGAACCAAATTGAACCATTTATTAATCACATTTTATATCTATGTGATGTCCTTTCCTGTTATTATAAACAAGATAATGCCACCTTTCCATTGAAAATAATATAACCGAGGTCAAATGAAGTAATATAATTCATCCAGGTCACAGTGCTAAAGATGCAGTACCAGAACCAAACCAGCGTCTGGTTTCAAAGGCACGATTCCTTTCACTATGTAGTGACTTTCTGTTTCTTTTCTCTGTCATAATGTGAAGCAGCATATGACACAGAGAGAATACAGAAATTAAAAGTAAAGAGGACCAATGCACTATTGCAGAAGAAGGCTTGAAAAGAAGTGCAGGAATGAATGAGGTGAATTTTTTGTTATAGGAGCTAATGCTGTGAAAGTTCTGTCCTCATGGAACAGTCTCTTGGTTTACTCTCAGACAACAGTTAGGACACATTAAATACAGTGTCTGTGTTAGTGAGGATTGAAATGGCCTACTGAAGCCTGAAGCCAGGGGTGTCCATCTGTCCTAACTTTAATGAGATTGACCAGGCTTGGCTATTTCTGCTTTCTGGCAAACAGAATCAGAAGGCATCAACGAGAGTAATCTGGGAGCAGTTTTTGGCTATATACGTGGCTGCTAGTAGAATTTATAGACAGTAAAGCTTGATTCAGGGGCAGTCTATAGCAAAGCCACAGAACGGGCAATTCATCTTCAGTAGTCTCTATGTTCTTAAGTGTTCTCTTCCTCTCAATGATCATTAGTTGGAATGGGAAGTATCTGAAAATTCTAGTAATTTATAACAAGTTATTTGGTGGCATCTGCCACTCATTTCTTTTCTCCATCCAAACCCAAATAAATGTGCGGCAATTGGGTCATTATGCTGGAGGTTAAAATAGGCCAGGTACTTAGATAAGAGAGTGGTTACCTTTGATTATCACTCACACAACTGCTGTTATACTTTTTCTTTTGTTGAATGGATAAAGTGTCCAACTGACTCATGCATAACCTAACTCATATCTTCCTGGATCAATTAACCCTTTTTTTTCCTCAAGGAGAGTTTTGGGTGCCCCAAAATCCACTTTTAAACCTATCAGCTTTCAGAAATTGGGTAAGAATACTAGTGCTTTTATATTACACTTCTACTGCACATAATTATAAACCAATCACATACAGCAATGTTGAATTAAGCACTATACATGTATTTTTATGTAAAGAAAAGCTAAAGGTCCTAGGGTATAGATACTGTCTCTTTAAAAAGAAGCTGAAAGTTTAACCAAGCCCTGGTGTTATTCTTTTGCTGACCATCTTCCACTGGTACAATGCATCTGCTGCTCAAGAGCCCCACTGTGCTGTGCCCGGGGAGACTGCCATTTGAGTTCCATTAATGGCAGCCTCACTCTGGCCCTGAATGGGGTTGCTTAGTGAGGAGCACTGCTGAAAGTACTGGAGGGGATGAGTGAGATGAGAGTGCTCATTTCTCTGGCTCCCATGCCAAGGCATCTCCACACAAGCCACAGCTCTGCTCAAAGGCTTTCTGCATGAAGCTTCCAGAATCTCTGGCTTTTGTAACTCCACTCTCCTTCAACACTTTGCAGGCCTACAAGTGTTAGCAAATTCTTCTCACCACCTCAGGGCACTGCAATGCACTACTCCAAACCTGTGTTCTCTTTACCCCCTGCCTCCTGCCCAAATACATTTTTTTAAAATGCTGTATTAAATTTCTTTGAAATGATTCAGTTTACATTTGAGGACTGTTTCCTATGAGGAGCCCGACTGACTGATACAGGGCTACAACTCAGGTTTACCTTTAATATACAGCCTTCTATTCTTAAATTAGATTGTTGGGAAAATCAGAAAAAATAAAATAATACCACTGAATCGGGAGGAAAAAAATATGGTTTAGACTAGAAAATCACCAACAAACTAGATATGTTTCCCAAACCAGATACTGGCAGTTGTTATGTTGCTCACATTCCCCTAGTAAACCATGCTTCCTAGCCAAGGTTTTAATAGCTAAATAAAAGGTTTGGAGCGAGCTTCATCTCCCCAGGCCAAGGGCATATTTCCCAGTTACTTCTAAATTACTTCTTTTAAAAAATATCCAAAATATGAATTGATATGAAATACTGTCTTTTTTCTAACAACCATAAAATTCATTAATATCAGGAGTATGATCAGTGACATCTTGTGACAGATAAATTGTCCCTTATAAGGTCACAGGGTAGCATCCAGCATTCCAGCAAGATTCCTAGTAAAATTTCAGAATTCCAGGAAAGCATCAACTAATAAAATCTAGTGTAAAGTAAATGAAATGATGACAGAATGAAGAATTTTTTCTTGTCTGCTTTTACAGGTACTGGAATTAGCAGTTAGAGAGAGAGAGAAGGCGGGGGCAGAGACAGGCAGAGAGAAAGCAAAGCGAAGAAAAGCAAAGCAAAGCAAAGCACAAGAAAAGGATGCTCTGTGCTCTGGTACCTGACACAGCTAAGGGCTGTGACTCAGCAGTACAGTCCAGGAGCAGCAAGGTGAGTGATGGTGACCTCCCTTGTCAGTTTTAGCTTCCTATATGTTTGGCAAGCAAAACAAGGGTTTAAAATAGCTTTCCTGCAGGTTCCATGTGACTTGTCACTGGACCCAGACAGCACAAAAGGGCTGATTAGTGAGGCAAAAAAGAGGATCTTCTCCTGAGATGACTTCCAAAAGCTGCTTCTTGCAGCACAAATCTTCCTCTGAAAATGCAGAGCTCGCTGGGAAAGGCATTCTCCCTTTCAAGTAGTTGAATTTTGTTTGGAAATTCTTTGTTATTTTTTACTTTTTTATTTTGATCACCTCCAAGTTACTTCGGAACAATCGTTACTTTGGAAGCATATCAGGAAGTAAAAATTCAAAGACCACTATTTCCTCAAAGCTATCACCCTAGCCTTCTTTCCTACTGGCCTTGGGGAGAGAATTTAGCCCTCTCATGGAAAGTAAAAAGGTTGGGCAACCCCTTCTCAAACAGCTCTCGCTGCAGTTGAGTCACAAGGATGTCTCTTCTAGTTTGAGTGGCCACACAGACTGTGATCTATGTCCCCATCACGTCAGGGCTGCAAGTTGGAAGACACTGTCAAGTAGTAATTGCTTAAATGGTGCAGAGGCCTGGGGAGATGGTGATTCAATTTTCCTCCCCTGATGGAGTAAAATTGTTCCCTGGGGAAACACGAGTGGAACAGATGTCATATTACCACCAACTGTTTCAGAAATTTTTGAACCAAGTGTTATTCTTTAAATGTTGAACAAAGAAAGAAGGGCTAAGAAGTGATGTGAGAGAAAAAACATAGAGGAAGATGGGGTTTAAGAAAAGATAATCAGGCAATAAGGAAAGAAACTCTGAACTGAAGGACTACTCAAGTCCTGCAGCACCATGGAGAGCAGGTCAACAATAAATGCTTCATGGGGTCTCCTGATTGATAGCTTATGATTATGCACAAAAGCCCAATGAGGAGAAAGGGTGGGAAGAAAAGTGATGGAGAAAGAAGAAGGAAGGGAAAGAAATGAAGAGGGGAAAGACGACGGGGTGGGGAGGCAGGGGAATTAAACATCTCAGTTAAAAATTTAGAGGAAAATAGAATGAACTTTACACGTAACTTTTAGTTCCCTTTTATTCTACCAAACACCTGGGTTGTAGACTTAACACATAAGCATTATTTTAAATTAGGGAGACAACTATATAAAATTTATGTACTGTATATAAATTTATTCTTCCCAAGATCTTACACAAAAGCTCCTGACTTTGGTCTTGAGAGTCCTTGTACATAGGCACTGTTGCAGTGAGGTTAAGAACAACAAAATTAAAGGGTGATGTAGCAACAATACAAGATGTTCTCATGTTTAACCCCCATTAAAAGAAATCATTCACTTTCTGGCTACTAGTTCCCAGGCATCTGATCTCAGTTACCTAGGAGACTTCCTCCTGAAAGGACCCACACTCACGCATTCCAGCAGCAAGCAAGTCATTGTGATGTCACTCCAGGTTCTCATGTGGTCCCAAAGCTATTTCACATCTCATTGTTTAGCTGGATGAGATCTGATCATGTGTGTTCTCCAGTCTCTAACCTGGTGCAGAGAATCAACCAGTTCTGAAGCAAAACTCAGCTTTATTAAAGGAAACAGAGTGGAAGGCCAAGGTAAAAGAGTGGAAATAAAATCAGAGTAAACAATCTCTATTTACAAGTCGGCCCAGCCACGAGTTAGTGGGCAGGAAAGGAGGACTGCCACGCTTAAGCACATGGCACTTGCCATCACCTGTTGCATATTGTTACCAAAAGTGGAAATTCTCAATTCACACTTGAAGTATTGATCTCCATATTAGACTTGAGAACTATATGTCCCCATCCTGGCTTCAAAGGACAGTTTCAGTTCAATTAGATCATATTTATTGAGCTCCTAGCTCAAGGCAGTGTAGCAGAAAATGCACAATTTACTTAAGATTCTTTGAAGTATTCCTGTGGCCCAGGGAAGGACACAGGCACGTGGACAACTATAGCACAGTGAAATGGGTAACGCTGTGGAATATGGACAATAAATTAAAAGAGTTTTGAGAAAGAAGATACCATTTGAAGCTGCAGGAAATCTCTTTGTGAAGATGATATTATAATAGGTCTAAGGGGTTAGTACAGTGAATACTAACGTTATACTGAAGAGATGAAGGAGAAATCCTGGGCTGAGGAACACCATGTGCAGAGGCTGAAGGTTACAAAGTCTTATGAGTGTCCATGTCTCATAATAGCTATGAAAGCAAGTAGATGCATACAACTGAAATGTAGTGAATGTTGTTTACATAATGAGAGACAAAATGTACAGTGGTGGGAAGTTCACAAGAAAGATGTCAGGCTAAAGTATGGTGCATCATTCAATAGGTAATGTGGAATACTTCAAGTGCTGTGAATAGGAGGGTAGCAGTTGCTGCTGTTTTTGAAAGGCAGGTAGAATAAAGAGGTGATGGGTGAATTGGAGGATTTTTGATTGAAGGAAATTGGTAAAATTTTCTTTCAGTTCTATGATTTAATGCTTCATTTTAAACAGCACATTAGTTTCCTATTCCTGCCATAACAAATTAACACACACTTGGTAGTTCAAAGTAGCATAAATGTATTATCTTATGGTTTTAGAGATCAGAAGTTCAAAATGGGTCTCATGGGGTAAAATCCAGGTGTTTGGATATAAATTTATTCTTCCTAAGATCTTGGACAAAAACTTCTGACTTTCATCTCAAGAGTCCTTGTACATAGGCACCGTCACAGTGAGGTTCAGAAGCTCAAAATTAAAGGGTGATATAGCAACAATACAAGATGTTCTTATGTTTAACTTCCATTAAGAGAAATCATTCACTTTCTGGATACAAGTTCCCAGGCATCTGATTTCAGGGACTCTAGGAACTCTAAGGAAAATGCCTTTCATTGTCTTCCTCAGGTTTGAAAGGCCATCTGCATCCTTGAGCTCCTGTTCTACTTCTGCCTTGAAACCCAGCAGTATAGCATCAAATCTCTCTCTCCCTCTCCCTCTCTCTCTCTCTCTCTCCCTCCCTCCCTCCTCTTTCTCTTTCTCTCTCTGGCTCTGATTCTTGGTTTTTGTCATACTTCTCCTATTTGGATTCTTTCACTGACACTTAGGATTACATTGGGGTCCACATAGACAGTTCAGGATAATTCTTCTTCTCAAAGTCATTAACCACCACTGCAAGGTCCTTTTTTGCCATGTATGGTAATATGCTCCCAAGTTGCTGGGATTAGCAAGTGAGTACCTTCAGCATACAGCATTATTCTGCCTACCATAGACATTGTCGGGTCATAAAGCAAGTTATGAAGCACAAGAGGTGAGTGGGAAATCAAATCACATATTCTAGAGGGATGTGTAAGAGGGCAGTCTACAGAAATGGTCCTGATCATCATCGGTCATGGGTGAATCAGAGTAGTCAGAGAAGAAGGGATTGCACTTATCACTTTAGGGCCTCACCTTCATATTCAAACCATGTTTAATTACTCCCGAATAAACAGTGAATAAAGATTTAAGAAGAATGCTAAATATAAAAAGGACTCAGTGTCAAGGGAAAAATAATTCTTTTGAAGAATAATGGATTTAAAATTTGAGAAACAGATAATTCTGTCTTTGACTAAAAAAATGGTAACTTTTATATTCTGGTTGTGTATGTGTTTGTGCGTGCGTGTGTGTGTGTGTGTGTGCGCGCGCGTGTATGTTAGTAGGTACTGAACTCAGGGCTTTAACACTCAGCTACATTCCTAGCCTTAATTTGAAACAGGGTCTTGTTAAATTGCCAAGTGGAAACAATCTTGAAAACTTTCTGCTTCAGCCCGCCTCAGCCCTGGCGTTGCATGTTTTTATATGTATAGTCACATTTACTACTGTGTGGTAAAAATCCTTCTATAAGATTATAGAATAATACTGCCCTGTGTTTGGAGTATTGTTTTCTAATCCTTGATGCTTTGGGAGGTTTGATTATTTTCCTTATTCTAAATTACATTTTCCATGGTTGCAATTCACAGAAATATATTCTGATGTCAGAGTATAGATGGTATAAGAATGCTGTACAATAATACTTGGCCTGGGATGTAGCAAACATCATATTTGGGCCTGATTTACTGTGTAATTGGGGCCAAATTAATAAACAATGTCAACCCCAACTGTGGTTGATAAGTTATGTTGATATTTTAGAATAAAAATCATGTATGTGAAAATACTCTGAATAAAGTTTGCAACTTGTGGAGGTTGCTGTCCTTTCATCAATCAGGTGATCAGGTGGCATTAGTCATTCACGATCCACCTTGGGTATACAGTTGTAGTAACATATGCCCTGAAGCCAAGCATTCACATACAGTGAGTTGTGGCCATTTGCAGAAAAGAGGTGTATAAATTGTGTATTCACTAACTTCATTTGGTAGTTGCGTCAGTACACATGAGTGTGGTGATTTGAAGAGTTCATTTAAAATGATGTAGGCGAGTTTTTAGTATAAGTCAGACCTGAAGGGGGAGGTCTACCTCCACAGCCTTTGGGAGACAATGAGCTGCAGCAGGCTCACAAAAATGAACATGCCTACCTTTTGCAGAACCTTTGGCTCACAGAGAATCTCATGGAGAAGGAGAGGGCTCTTCAGAAGTTACCACAATCTTTGTTCCTCAATGCTGGCTAACCCTGGGCCCTATTCCAGGATGTCATATTTGTAATTCTTCAAATGTGTGTGGAAGAAGTAAAGAGTGATTGGAGAAGAGTGACAGTGAATCCCATATGCTTTCTTTCTGAATCTCTTCTATAGCAAATCTGCTTAGTCTATACATTGATACAGAATTTTTCCAGCTAAGGTTGCATATTCCATGTAGTTTTGAAAAACTTCTGCCTGTTCTCACATCATCACTATTTTCAAAGAGTTTGAAATTGTAGTAAATCTATCATTGTAACTAAGCAAAATATGGGAAAAGACCCTACTTGCTTTCTTTTCCCACAGCTCTTTTGATTCAAAGGACCTATTGAGATAGCAGTTTCATTAAGCCTGAAGGCTTGCATTTAGTAAGATAATGTTCCTTGATTATAAGGAAAGATATTGGTTCTGAGCCCTCACTGTGATACTGATTTTATTTATTTTCCACTTTGGTATGTATATCTGCCACCCAAAAGGTATAAACTAGGGAATGTATTACCTTATAAAAACAGTATATTGTCCTGAATTAACACCACACTTAACCTCCACACTGAGCTATAGCTATCAAGCCGTGTCGTTCTCCTATAAGAGATGGGTCACAGTAAGTCAGAAACACTTGGCTGTTCCATCTGTGACCACATGCTGAACTAGTTTCAGCTACACTGAAATATGGTATAGAACTAAGCAGCTCATCTAGGAATAGTACCCATAACTAAAAATAGGACTCAGGCCGGCAAGTTGGACTAACAAACCCAGATACATCATACTTGTAGTTATAATAAAAAAGCAAAAAACACAATAAATTTTACAATGATATAGTAAGAACCAGACATTCTGTGATGAAGAATAATTCTAATTAACTCTGAGAATAACAAGTAATTTTAATTTTTCTGTCTGCACCTCTCTCTCTCTCCCTCTCTCTCTCTCTCTCGTCAATACTTCCTTCAACCCCTAGAAATCCAGATTGTTCACAATAGGCCTTATTTTCTGTTATGGAAAGACAGTTAAACAAGCAACAAATCCTAAGATATTGATATACAAACAATATCTCCTGAGCAGTTTGCAATCATTGATTTATGGATTAATAAACAAATCTTTAGTTAGTACTTATTATGTTCTGAGCTTTATGCCAGACATGGTATTCATAAAATGAAAGAAAGAAACAATCTGATATACAATATAAGGGAATGCAAGTAAATTAAGCCATGAGAAACTATGGGCTCAGCCTTGAAGAATTTAGCACACTTCATTTGAATCAAAACCTCTTCCTAGCACATGCCGTGACCCTGAGGACAGCTTTTCTACTGAAAGTCAAGATCACTGACAGACTATTTTATTTGTGGCTATTGCAAAGACACTGGTCCTCAAGAACCCTAGTTTAGATATTCCTTTGTTTAGATATTCCTTTGTGAGAAAGGAAACTCACAGTAGCCAACTAGGTACTAGATTATAGGTAAAAGAACTATAATATGTAAAATCTTATTTTGGCATTTTCAGCTATACATGTACACAGAATTTATCTTCATGTAGTATTATCTTTTGCTTTTTATCTTCCTGTGATCTTTTTCTTAAAGAACTGAGCTCTCCTAATGGGGCTGTGTATCATACAGCTTGACACTCCCTGACAGGGCACTGGTCATCAGTCTCAAGCTTCTCAGTTCAAGTACCCCTACCCTTAAAAAGAAGGCTTGGCTGATAACTGGGCATGTGACTAAAAGGAGACCAATCACTGTCTTTATTTCAAACAGCTTAAAAGGCTGAAGAACAGGAAAGTAAGAAGGACAGGAATAAAGACTAAGGGAGAGACAGGCTCTGTGTTCTGAGATTTCAAATATATATAGTCTGAAATGCCCAGGGTCATCTTACCTAAAGTTTGTAGAAACTTTGACAGAGAATAAGGTTAACATAGAAGAAAGCATAGCAAAGAGGTACAGAGAGAAATGCAGTTCTTATCACATCAATTGAATGTCCAT